ATAATGTATGAAATTATTTAACAATTTAAATAAATAGAATTCAAGGATTTAGAGCAATTTCAGTAGCTTAATAGTGCAATTCTGTGCATTTACTTAGAAGAAAATTTTGCATTTAATGATATAATACTCATAGGTCAATGTATATAATTTATAATTATGTACATAATTCCTCTTTCAACATTTAGTCAGCATTCTTTGATCATTGTGTTTTTCTGGTATGTGACCGTAATAAAAGATTGAATTGAATTCTATGACCGCTGTGTTCTTTTCTAAAGTTTTGAAGAAATTTCCTCTGTAGAGTATTTTGTGTGTGTGTGTGTGTGTTGAAGTTACTGAACTCTGTTTATGTCTTTTTGTCTATATTAGCTACATTTTATGAGAACAGAAGTAGGAGAGATAATGTGATACAATGGTAATGTACTGGACTAACCTTAGGCTAATCCCTGTTTGTCAGCCTAGCATACCTCAGAGGAATAAGTTATGAAATAAAAATGGATCAGAACGCTGTTGTATCATTTTGAGCTTCTTTAGAACTAAAAATAATAAATAAGACTTGAATCTGAAAACAGAGATTAAGAAAAGCAGTGGTATTTAACAGAAGATAAGAGCTGCTATCTGTAGAAAATGGAACAGTGATCCTGAGACTGAATGGAGACAAGAAAAGATCCCCTCCAGTTCTGCTGCTTCTGAAGGAGAGGAAAGCTTGACTTATGCAAAAAGAAAAAAGAAAAGAAATACCAGCAACTTCCTTTGAATTTTAGATGAAGCCCAGAAGACTTGTTTTGTATCTGGACAAGCTGACACAAGCATGACCTTTTCTAGCTACTTGATTATATCAGGCTTTGTAAAAAAGCGGTTAACAAATCAAACCATGAGTAGATGAGATCTAAAGTACAGTGTGGAAATCCATCTTTGTCAGTAACTTTATATACATTAAAAGTTTTACTGAAAATGGAAGCCACTTAGAGTGAGAGAAAAACAAAAGAAGCTAACACCAGTTTCTGTCGGAGTGTTCAGTTTAGAGGCCCAGGGCATCATGTAACCCTCAGGCCCTCTGAAAGTTTACTAAATTGTCAAATGGAAATATTATTAAATGATCATATTGCATGTACAACACATTATTTTTATATTTTAAGTAAATCGAGTCATTTATAAGCATTTGTCTTAATTGACAAACAATTTTGTATTAGCTCTATTTTGGAGAGTGCAACTCCTAAGCAGTCCACTTAAAGACCAGAAATTTCTTCTGTAATAATTAAAGAAGTACTTGGTCTCTGACAGCAAGCAATTCATTGTCACTGAAATTACTCTTGCTTTCCGATGTTTTGTTGGTGCTGATGGTACAGTGATTTTAGCCTTGGACATGACCATAGGGATTCTTTAAGTACATTTCTTAATTCACTTCAATATGTGATGTTAACTTTTCTGTGATTGGAAACCTGTCCCCCACCCTGTTGAGTATGGCCATTGATTTCTTCCCTAAAGTTTTATTCATATAATAGTAGCACCATAGTGAATGCTCCTAAATAAGATGTCAATATCTGCCATTCAGTCACAGCCCAATGAGTGAGTAAATAAATGGACCAACTTTAATTCCTAGCACCTGTATTTAATACAATAGAAGGGAAACCTGTGGATCTGCATATGTTGCTCACTTGCATTAGTCACAGAGAACAGGGCATATGGTCTGGGATGCCAGGAGATATAGTCTAAAAACATTTTGAATATCATTCATTCCCCACTGCTGGGACAGACAACACTAGGTAAGACACGGAAGTATATGAAAAATCTCAATTCATGATAAGGTTAGGGTTAGGGTTAAGGGTGATGGGCCCCAGGTAAGATGCTAGCTGGGAATTAAGATATTTTCACTTGACCAGTTCCAATGTTTTTTTCCTTAAAATAAAAATGTAAAAAAGTAGTATACTGCCTTTGCTCCTGCTTGGTAAGGGTGAAATGTACACACTGGCAAGTATAAATGGGGACCTCTAGGGAAGTGCAACACTGTTTTGTTGCCTAGTGATACGGCCTTGGTAATGTCACTGATGCCTGATTCCATTTGAGCCTGACCTTTCCCAAGATATTGGTGCTACCCTGAAAAGGGAATATAGAGTAGGTGAGAAAAAAAACAGAAGAACATTAGTTCTAAGTCCTGAGAAAAAGTAAACTTTATTTATGCTGAGGTAGTTTTGGTTCCATATATAAAGCATGGGGAGGAAACACTGTCTCTAGTTTCATCTTAAAATTCTAGATTATTGCATTAGAATCTAAATAATACTAATTAAATATAGCAATGAAATAATTCAATTTTTTTCAGTCATGTTTCAAACCGCCCCCTCCCCCAATTTATTACTATTTTACTGATTTTTAGCATTTTGAACCAGCATGGAAAGCAAAATATGGAGGAAGGATGTTGAAAGTTAATATTTGTAGGACTGGGGTGGGGAAGAGAATCCAATATCTCTGCTCCATTTCCAGCCACATTCATAGGAAAAGAGGGATAAGTTTATAGGGTAAATACAATAAATAGAGGAGAAATTGTTAGTATACATAAATAGATGTCAACCCAAATTCATCCTGAAAAATGTGTGTCTGAACATGAACTAGATAGCTACTGCCTCCCTGGAGAAATCCTTCCTTCGCTTTACACATGCATCCCTCTAACCCTTGATCTGTTTGTGCAGCAGGTGATTATGTTTGTTTCACAGGCTGATAGATTGTAAAGCATCTTTACAAGTCATAATATGTTCTCCAAGGTGGGTATATCCTTCATCCTTTTGGCCATCAATTAAAAACACTCCCACCTTCTCACATACATGGATACACTAGAGCAGTGGTGGCGAACCTATGGCACGGGTGTCAGAGGCGGCACTCAGAGCCCTCTCTGTGGGCAAGCGCACCATCACCCCAGTCCTAGGCCTTCAGCTGGGTTTTATAAAACCTTTTCACTGCAAAAAAAAAAAAAAGGTTCAATCAGTCAACTTCAACTTCTGGGAGGGGGGAAGATCTTGCAAAGTTGGAATTGATTGATTGAACTTTTTAGTCCCACCCAGTCTGCCGTTACCACCACAGCCATGCCCACCCAATGGGCCACACCCACCCGGCACTCAAAGATGCATAAGTGGGTTTTGGGTTGCAGTTTGGGCATTCGGTCTCTAAAAGGTTCGCCATCACTGCACTAGAGATAAGGATGTAGTCCTAGACACACACTCTCAAATAGTTTGATTCTGTTAAACTCAGTGAGGCTTCCTTCAGAGCTGACATGTTTAATGGTGCAATGCTCCAATCCTCTGAATAAGGGTCATTGAAGGAAATGGGATTAGTTTAAATATACAAAGATTTGGACTGAATATCAGGAAAGAGAAGGAAAGATATTTTGGGATTCTATCCCCTTTGAAATTCTTTGCATATCAAAGGGATCTACTGGAGTCTCCTTCCAGGTTGAAATGGATTCACTGAGTTATTTTAATCCAATTCCTTAGGTGTTCTTTTTCTTTTTAGTAAAATAAATGAGGCCCAAAGGAAGTAATAATAAGAATATTTAGAATTTGGGGTTCCATCTTATTTTATTTGCCTGCTGATGGATTTAAGCAGACTTCAATCTTTGGGTTCCAAAATCTGAGACCTAAAATGTATCTACTCCAAGATGGTTAATTTCTGTAGAACCTCTTTCCCCAACCTAATACTCTCTACATGTGTTGACATATTAAGTCCCAGAAGTCCCAGGCATTATGGCTCATGGGCTAACTGGGAATCAGCATCAGTGAACTCAGTAAGGCTTGTCTCTACTCAGTGCGTAGATTGGGGTGCACACCTGCACATATTAGGGTTTTTTTTCCCTCCTCCCCTCCTTCCAGCATTATATTCTCAGACTCCTTGGAAGGAAGCTTTTCTGTGGCTGGTTCAGAAATCTGTGAGTTTTATAGGTTTGCATATTTAATGCAAATAATCTGAATTAACAGTTGCCTTTTCCTTTGTTTTATCTTAAAAGCCATTAAGACTAACCAAAACACTAGTGTACAAATAGGACATATAGACATATTCCCACAATCCTACTCTTGATGCAATGATGGTTGTGACTTTAGAACTTTGGTCATGGCTTCAAAGGCAAATCAAAAACAACACATACTTTTTCACTTCCCTTTAGTGGATTTTTCTTTTCCACAGCCAGTATGGACTGGCTAATACATAAAAGCAATTTCATCCAAAAATTAATGTGGATGAGCAATGATCAAGATGCAGAGATATCATCTTCCAATGCAAAAATTGAAGTTGGGTGGAAGGAAAATTATTTCTCCAAGGCCTCAAGCTTCTCTTCCTATACATCTCTATTTAAAAAAAAAATACTGTAGCTGTGAGACTCTATTAAGAAAGTATATAAAATAAACAGCAAAGCAGACAAAAAAAATCTTACCTCTATAATTAAAGTCTCTTGGCTCTATGAAGAAAATGTTATTTCCAACCACCACCACCTCCAATTACCTACTACCAAAAGTGTGTCTCCTAATTTTCAGGGAGGTAGATGGAGGAAGGAAAAGAGTTGTTCCTGAGGTGATAAGTGTAGTAAACTAGCCTTTAAGATACAGACTGTTCGGGCTTCTTATGAGAATCAGAAATAAAAAGAGGGTATAGTAAGGCATAGAAGAGAGAAAGATTAAAAGCTCAGTACAGAGGTCCCTCTTCTACCTCATGCTTTAAAAAAGGAAATTGGGAAGGAAAATAAGGATTTGTCTTGCTGGTATTCTAGTGATGTGGAGATTACACTCACTCCGAAGCTTGAAGTAAGAAAGAAACATATAATACACGAATCTGACAGCGAAGGCGTAGAAACGCAAGCTTAGGACGAGAACTTAAAAATCTACATTTATGAGTAATCCTGATGGAAATCGTTTGCATAATTGTAATTAACTATTGAGTACCCAGAAAAAAAATTGTGCAAAAGTTCCTGTATCTCTATATTTGAAAATACGCGTTTCTTTTTCGTAAGAGGGGCGCGTGTGCATAGGTATCATATGTGCGTGTGTTCTTGGTTTTTTCGGGTGGGTTTGTCTTTTGTGCCCATAAGCTTAGGACCGTTTATTCGCTTTACAAACCGAGCAACTGCCTCTCTGAAAGAGGAGGTTACTTCGGTGGGCAGGACTCGACCTAACTAACCCTCCTTCCCCTTCAAGAGGACACCGAGCTGGGAGAAGCTTCGGGAGTGGAGGACCCGCTGGATCTGTCAGACGCAGCTTCGCTGCTTTCCTTGGTAGAGTCGCGGAAAGCCGCGGCGGCGGTGGGATGGGGACCAGCCAATCCTTCTTTTTCCCTCTTCTTCTGTTTCATTCTCCGATTCTGGAACCAGATTTTTACCTGAGTCTCGTTCAACTCCAAAGTAGCAGCGATCTCCACCCGTCTGGCTCGAGTGAGATACTTGCTGAAGTGAAACTCTTTTTCCAACTCTGTTAGTTGCTTGGTGGTGAAATTGGTCCGGATCGTGCTGGCATTGACGGCTAATCCATAGTCAGTCACTTTCGCTGCTGGGACGAGCCAGAAACGGAGAAACAATCAACCCATTGGTTAGAATTATTTCCAAAATAAACCAGCAATCAGCAACATCCTCTCTGATATAAACCTAGTTAGAAGCAGTTGTGTGCCTATCAGGACCTCAGAGCTTTGAAGATGTTTAGTGGCATCCTTTACTGTACTTTACCTTAGCTGTTCCTGGCCAGTATCCTTTATATTGTACGGCATACTTTCAAGCTGGAAGTTGTGATATAACACACCTTGGAGGGCATCAACTTGAAAAGCTTCCTCTACATATTCCGGGCATACTTGGACCCTTTCAGGAATGGGGGCTTAATTTCCTTGTGGCAATCCATTCACTCCCCATTAAGATTTCCCACTTCCTAATTCTAGGTTTAGGAAATATTGTGCTCTGATCTTTATGTTACAGATTGTGTTCTGATCTTTATATTTATAAAACAATTTCTGCAAGGTTTCAGCACAAAAAGTTATTTGTATTCTAGATTAGTCAGTCCTCTGTCAGGCTGATTTGGAACAAGTAGGGAAATAACCTGGTCCAGGAAAAGATTGGAGAACAACGTTTTAAAAATCTTAGATCAAGCTGATAAAACCTTCATTCTCTTCACCCCAAAACACAAAATTCTTTTTACCCCCTGAGAAAAGACACTCTGAAATGTTTAGACTTGAAAGAAACTTCAGCCTCTGTTTAAAAGTTTTTCTCCCAAATCTTGATCTGACAATATCCTATATGTTTCATGCTGAGACAACAGTATGTTGTGTCTATACAAAGACATTTCCCACCAGCCTTATTTTATACTAAAAATATTGGAATGGAAAGTCAGATCTACTTGTAGTTGATGGTTCAACATCTTATCTATGATTGGATTTCTACATAGCAATAAGCCATGTAACAAGTCTCTGGAAACCCAGTTCATATGAGTCACTACAATGTCAATACAAAATAAATGGCACTTTGATTTATGTGTGAACTCACCTTTTCTGTCAGGGCTACCTCACTCAAACAGTTTCAACATATTCTGTACAGACCAGGCTCTTTTTTAACTTCAATCCCAGTTTCTGAATTGAGGGACATTAGTTCTGTTCCTGATATGTCTCCCCTGGATCTGATCAAAGTTCGGTAAGATGAAAAATAATAATCTGAACCAGCTCTGGGCAGGACCAAAGTCCAAAATAAACCCAATTCATTTCAAAGGGGAGGCAATTGCTGAGTAGGATTCAAAGAGCATCACAAATGAAGAAGGCAATTGCATAAAAATTAATCTCAACCAACTCCTATTCAAGAATAAGCACATAATAAAATTCTGACTGGGTTGATCTTCCTTGAACAAGCAACTCTTCTGCATGTGTGTTCATCTGTTTCATGGGAATGCTCCTTCCTGGCTTTTAATCTCTAGCTAGTAGTGGTAGAAAGAAGATTTCCTTTATCAGGGCTCAGTCCATCTAGGACAAGGATTCTGTTCTTGTGAATAAAAAGACAACTCTCATTTTCACAAGGAAGTATAAGACAAACTAAATCTCACCAGATCCTTTTGGGCAACCATGGATCAAAATATGGAAGCAGAATGAAATAAGAGCAAAGTTAGAAGCTATTGTAGCTCCTATATGTTCAAAAATTCTCCATTTCTCAAACTCTAAATCAAGATTAGATAACCTTCTGCCTCCAGTTTCTTTGGACTTCCACTGTTATAAGTCTCAGTCAGAATTGTCAGAAATTCTATAAAGCACCTATCATTTGCTTGGCTTTTTTAATTGATTCAACAGCTTTGGAAAATATTGTTTTTCTGCCTTACCTATCATATTACAAAATAAATAGTACAATTGCACTAATTGCCCCATCACAGCACCATAGTTTCGGGAACTCTCACTTTTTTTTTTTTTTTTTTGCTAAGTTACTGTTTACATGTATCATTATGCTTCAATTTTTTCTTTCTGCAGTTTGAACCAATTACTTCGGAACCTATCCATAGCACAGTCGCCAAATGAATCTGGCCTTCTTTTTGTCATTTAGCAATTCTGGAAACAGAGAAGTCTTTCACATCTCAACTATCCTCAAACTAGCCTTACTGCTTTCTTTCCTTTCTTTCTACCACCCCTCCTCCCTCCTTATGATTTGCCTTCTCAGACCAAGGTTAATGATGGAGTGACATTCCTGACTTCCAGGAGCAGATTTTCTCTTTTCAACAGTAGCCATCTCAGAAGATGTCTCTGGAATCTCTAGTGTGAGGTAGATGAGGGAATTCTGAGCCAATGCAGAAGCCTCATTCCCACTTGCTTCCTTTGTCCCCCTCCTCCCATTCCACTTTTTGATTGGGTTTCTGGTGAGACAGCAATATGAGCATAACTAATCTCTCTGGGCATCCAGGTGTATTAGAAATTTACCTGTTCTGGGAGGATTTCTTTTCACTTTCATCCAGTCGAAGGTCTGGCTGATGGTAGCAGTGGCAGCAGCAGCAACAGCAGCAGCCGTGGGACATGGATGGGCCCGGCAAGCCCTCGGCTCTTTGTTCTCAGATAGAGGTGGGGAAAGATTGCCCAAAGCCCCTTGCAAGTAACCCCCCTGATCAGAGCCATATTGATGTGGTTGGAATTGGCCCTGGGTAGCTGCACAAAATGCATCAGGTATACTTCCCGCTAGATGGGAAGAGGAATGGGAGGAAGTTGCAGCCAAGCTGGCAGGGTAGGCCGAGGTCTGAAAATAGGCTCCATCCGTCTCTGGGGAACTATGATAGAACTGAGGGTTGGTGAAGTTGGGGTTGCAACCTGAGTTTGTGTATCCCCCTCCCCCTCCTTGGTGAGAGGGGCTGGTGAAGGAGATGCCAAGGCCAGCTGGGCTGTGAGGAAGAGGAGGAGGGTAGCTGGGGCTCTGTTGGTGGTGGGCATTGGGCCCAGTAGCACCCACCCCTATCACCCCAAAGCACCCATCTGAGTGATAGCTGTCACAGGCTGGAGTGGTACCTGAGCAAGCTGGGTAGGAAATGGTCCCTTGGTCGAGGTGCTGGTACTCCTTGGGCGGGTAGGCGCTCATCCCACGGTTACAAATTGCATAGTCTAAAAAGAAGTTCATTCTAGGTATTGTTCCTTTGCCAATGATGGAAGAGGGTTGCCCTGTTTTATGGGGATTCCTTCTGCCCTACAACCTTTAGATAGTATGTCAAAGTTAACCAGGGGGAAAAAGGGGAGAGAGAGAGGGAGAGATGAAGAGAACCACCCTTCCCATCTATGGATCTCCAGGCTTAAGGGCCCCCCTCCTTCCCGAAGCTTTCCGAATGGGGGATGGGAGAAGGTGGTGGTGGGGTGGAAGGGGATCTACACCACGTGGTTTCCTTCAAGCCCAATGAGCAAATGCCTCCCAAACTTTGTCAGATATCTGCCATCATCCATCAAGTCCTTGGCATTTGCATGACAAAGGGACTTCAATCAAACTTTTCCCCATCGATCTGATTAACAACATGGATACGTCAAAAGGTTTTTCCCTCAAAGACTTCGGAAGAGGGGTGGAAAAAGGAAGTGATAGAAAAGAGGTTGGGGGAGGAAGAAAAGAAGTGGAAAGTTAAAACTATTCAAAGTCTATTCTCTGTGTTAGAAAAGACAGTGACAAAAATCATCAGAACTTTTCTCCTACAGTGAAACAAAAAGATCTTTCAACCCATTTCTGCTATAAGGGGCTCACCTAACAGAGAAAGAAATGTATGTGTGTATGTGTATGTGAAAGAGAGTAAGAGGTATTGCAGACTTCTTTATGACAGAAAATGTTCCTTTTCCTCATTAAAATATAATCACTGAAGAGATACTTAAACATTTATGGGGTTTGCTTAAAATCTCTTTTGCCTTCTCTTAAAAAAAAAATCCAAATAGCTTTGCTTTGCATATCGCCTTTGTGTCTAGAAGCAGAGTTCTTAAGAGCAATTTAATTCAATCAACATTCTAATGAGTTGTGAAATAAAGTTAGAAACACAATTGTGTTTTGTTGAAAGGGGAAGGGAGGGAAAGGCAAATGAAATTGAAATTCACTATCCTACCCATCTATTAGTTATTTATTTGATCTGACTAGCCATCCATTTTCCATCTCTACTCCCTGGTATCATTTGCAATCCCCTTCTATTTTTTTATTCAATAAAAAGCTTGTAGTTGCTGGACTTTGATTTGTATATTATGGGGAGGGGGGAATTTTAATCGTTGCAAATCATTCTTCACACTTAAATAAAGACAACTCCCAAAGGCCACTTTCTGAGCCACCATTTCTTAATCCTGATTTGCATAGGAGGAAGAGCAAAGAGTCCCTTTGTTTTTTATGGCAAGTAAATAAAATAGGTGTTTTGAAAAAGGTGCTTATTGCTTTAGGGAGCAAAGGAAACCGAGCTGTTTTCATTTTCTTTGAGCAGGCAGAAACTTCACCTTTTCATTTACCTTCCGGAGAAATGTTGGTCAGAGCCAAATCCTCAGAATTGCAAAGCTGGGTCTTAAATGAACTTTTGGCCTACTTCAACCTCTGGTGCTTTCCCCCTGGGCTGTACAGCCAGTAAATATCCTGACAAGTAACAAATGACTGTAGGCGTCAGCCTGCAAGTTACTCTTGTCCTCCATGTGCTAACAAGTAAATAAATGTTTCTGCCTTGACTTTCCATTATATTCAACATCCCAGAGTGGTTGAGCTTCTTCCTCTTTGTCAATACACATGGCCGAAGGAGGAGATTCCCTTGGAAAAGAAAGTCCGTAATTACCCATTTATGAACTCTAGAAATGAAGGACGGAGGGACGCTCATGTCTCAAGCAGAACCGAGAAGACAAACAGAAAGAACAGGAGACTGGGTGGCAGAAAGGCAAAGGAGTCCTCTGGAAGGCTATAGAAATGGAGAACCAATACCATATATGTGATTGGAGGGAGCATCAGGACTCCCATTTATTTTTGTAGTTTCTTTCAGAAATGAAGGACAAGGAGACCAACCTCTCTGAGAGATTTACCTTCATATAATACACGGTAGACAGAAGGCCTTCCCTGCATCTGCAAGTTGCCACTGAGGCTATCCTAAGGATGTCTGTACAAAATGAAATAAATGAATAAATAAATTCAAGGAGAGAAAATCAAGAAAGACATGCCGAATGAGAAAAAATGAAATTAAAAGTGGGGAAGGATTCGTGTCTTTTATATTTTTAAAAAAATGCATTTTATGAGAAAATATTTGCACTAGAAAACATTTATAAGAAATTTCTTTTGGGTCATTCCCACATTAACAAGAATTAACTTCAGACTTTGCAGTGTAGTCCTGTCTTTAAATCCTAACCAAATTAAGTTTCCTGCACTACAAATCACAGGCTTTTGGTCAGAAAAATTGTTTCCCTGTTTCCATTTTTGGTCAGAGAAACTGTCTCCCTGTTTTCTTCCTCAATATTTCCTAACCAAGAATTACTAAAAACTTCAGGTGCAAAGTAGTCTTTAATGCCCTTGTGCCTCAAGCCTGTGAAAACCTTGGGAAGCTTGTGCTTCCAAACCTGTGGATACCATTGATGAGAGCCCTGTCCAGCACAAGAATTAGGGCAGTAACATCATCTGAATGCTACCAGGGGAGTTCTCATGAGCAGGTCCTCAAAGGGAAAGCTTACTACCAGGGATGACAACCTTGTCATTGGCAGAATGGAAGTGTCCAGAGAGAATTCTTTTCTTTTCTTTCCCCCTCTCCCTCTCCTTTTCCCTCTCCAGTCATTTTGAAATATAAAACTAAAGCCAGGTATCAACTTATCTTTTCCACCCCACCCTACACACCGGTACTTCCTTTAGGAGGTTGGCCTGTTAAAAAAAGATGGCAAATTGCTGTCATGAAGAAGAACTCATAAATAGTTTTTTCAGCTTAAAGCCCAAATAAAAATCAGGATCATTTATTAAATCCAGTCAATGCTTCCAAAGTTGAATGGGTGGTGAGTAAGGAAGATTTTGAAGTGTTATTCGAGTAAGGCTTTATGAAACTCCAGGAAAAAAAAATCAAAGAGTTATTTTGAGTCCTGTTCCAGTTGGGGGAAGGCGGTTCTTTAAAGGCTGGGAGAAGCAAGCCCGGAAGGCTAATCATTATGTAAGGAAATTCTACCGGTGCTCTGGATTCCATATTAAACCGTAGCGAAAAAAGCGAGATAAGAATTGGAGATGGGAGGGGAATACAAGAAAAAGGACATAAATGGACAGCGCTTAGTTTTACTCAACATCCTGAGTGCCGTTTTCCGGTATAAAGAAAGTCTTAATTCTGACTCAAGAGGAAAATGCCTCAGTTTTGCAGCGAACAGAAGGTCTAGCCGACGAACAAACTCTTCCTCGATTTGCAGATTTTCCATTTGTTGGTTTCCTTTTCCTAAATCCTTCAATCTTCTCCACCAAAGGTTTATCATCTGGCAAGGGATATCGGCAGTTGGGCATAGCTTAAGGAGAGGAAGGAAGGTTCTTCCTGCTGCTATCATTTGGTTCACAGAAGTACGAATATTAAAATTCATGCCACTAGTTTGCACTAGTCCGGTTTAAAGTGCTAAATATAAAGCAGGCATGGGTGCCTCAAATATATTGTAATTACAATTCTCCTTTCGGAAATATAATCCAAGAAAGGCCATTCAGTGTTGACAGATCTTTGGATCCAGAAAGTTCTCCCCTCTCCCCCCCCCTTGCACCACAAGGTTTGCCTCCCTCTGCAGCTCGGTGGCCGCTCACCATCTGCTCCTGAATGGTGCTGATTTTCCCACCCTCCATTCTCACCATCCTCTTATGCCTTGCACAATATCATGTGTCCCAAGAATCTTGAGAGGAGACTGCATGCTTGCAAGCGAACAACAGAAGCCTGATTTCCGCTTTAGGGAAGGTTTGATCCTTCATCAAGAGCTGTGGACATCTTCTAAAAAGGTTTTATAACAACTTTTCAGAAAGGAAAAGTGGGTGCAAAGGTCCATTCAGAAAGCAGGCAGGAACAGGCAGTGATAATTTTATCTGAATTCAAATACTCTTGGGAGAAGAACACCCAAATTCCTTTTCACCAAATTTTCAGATTTTTTAAATATTAAATTACAAAGGTGTTAAATTAATTTTATGTGTGCCTTCAAAAACCATATACTATTGGCAATGATGAATGGTAAAGCATCAAATGAAGAGAATATATGTTTAAATATTAGTATGATCCCATTTGAATAATTTTCTAATTATTAGCCATTTTAGAAGGTTTTGTGGAAGTTGTATGTCAAAATATCTGGACAGCCTCAAATGTTGGTATGGTATCAAATACCAGTGATGTCCTAAAGTAGAAGCTAATTTTCATCTAATTCTTATGGATATATTGCAATATATTTATTGGCTGTTCACTCTTATTGTGACATAGACCTTATAATGATGACAGTGATCTTTTACATCAGTTTCTCCACTGGATCTGCAGCTCATTCAAACTATGTGAATTTCAACTTTAAGTCTTCTTAGCAATAACCATGCTTGTTGGAAAATACAGAACTTGAAGCACACCTTTTTTGAGATGTTCCAGTTGGGAAAGACTACACTAGTAGGAAGAGCAGTAAGAACTAACTAAGAAGATAACTGAAATAGTCCAGCCAAGGAAGATGGAGATGTTTTTGATCTCTCTCATCTTCCCTATAAAATGCAACTTACTATTTTGTCATTTGATATGTGTTGGGTACATTCTCAGTACCCCAAAATCTGACATGACCATGCCCCAATAAGGGTTTTATCTATACACTCATTTGTCTCACGCACAGCCCATAGCTGAGGCAGCTTAAAGTAACCTTTTACAGTTCTTGTTTTAAAGGAGTACTTTTCCTATTCTTCAACACAAGTTTTATAATGGACACAATCTAGCAAGTTTCACTGATTATGTGGTTTATGAGGCAGTCAGTTGGTTGGGCACTTCAGACTGCTGCTGTGTGTTCCTTCCATTTGGTTGCTGGACTGCATGGCTCTTGGGATTCAAGAAAGACTGGGCATCTGGCCTCCATAGAAACCTCTCCATGTATAATGCCAGACAGACATTTTCCAAAGATACTATCAGCTGTTATGTGAGTCCTTATACCCCTAGGTTTAGGGTTGTTGTTTTTTTCAAAGAGCCCATCACTCTGTCTTTAAACAAGGGCTTTTCACATTTAAAAAAGACTAGACCTATGTTTAAAAAATAGCGTTAGTGATCTCTTGAGAGAGTGCTATTTCTTTGTGCTCAGAAAATAAATTTAAACTGAGAAATAGAATGGGTTCTGCCAGCTATATGTTGCTACTTCTGTCATTAGTGAGTACATTAAAGGTATTCTGTTGCTCCCGCCACAAGGAATTTCACATTTTAACTGCATTAATAAGTTTGTGAAGGGAACAACATTTTTTTTTTAACCCTTATGTCATTTTTACACTGCCAGCTTTAACTGGTCACTGCCAGCACTACAATTCCTTTTTAATATTA